TTTTTAATTTAACAAAAAAATAACAACAATTTAAAAATAAATTGTTTTTAAATTTTAATTTCAAAATAAAAAAACTAATATAGCGACCTTCTTTATAAACCAATTTAATCTGCAAATTGTATTGTTAAACAAAATTCAAAAAAATATTATATAAATATAAATGTTTTATGACTTTTATGTAATATAACAATTTAAGTTCCTCATACTAATTATTTCGTAAAACAAACTCAGTTCATTATTTGTAATTCAATATTTTATTTTAAATATTAAATGTTCATTTGAATTGCGGTGTAACGTAGCTAGGGAACCTAGTTACTAAATTAGTTATCCAGGGAAGGTTTTCTGATCCTTATGGATACATTTCCATATGGTTAGAACACGGTATGTGGAATTTTATCAATAAATAAAACACATTTGGTTTATAAATCTTTGTTCAAAATATATTTTTGGTTTATACTTAACAAAATGTAGATGGTGGTAAAAAATCCCAGTGTTGGTGAGTTCGTGTTTGTTGCTGGTCAGTCTCGAACTGCCCTTTCGATAAATGGTGCCTATTGGCCATAGGCCTCACAATCATTAACAATGTTTATCTCAGCACAAATCCCACTATTGCCTACTACAGAATTGCCACACACACAGGTGTCATGTAACAATAATATATATATTATTGTTACAGCGGCATTTGTTTTCTCATAACTAAAAGCACTTGTCATTGAAAAATACAAAATATTTATTAAAAGTTTACACATATTTTAGTAACTAGGTAATAATAATGTCCCACAAAGAAAACAAGTTTTCTTGATGATATAATTCAATACTATGATGTACCTAGTACCTATGTCCTATATGCTACAGTCCTTACGAAGCCAGGTAATATTTGTTTTCCCATTTGACTTTGTAAACATGTTTTTAATATAATAAACATTAAATCATAAAGCGAACTAAGCAATCTAATTATTAAGTTAATATTATTTATAAACTTAAAATACAAATTGTACTTAAAACAGTTTGTGTTTTCCATCACACTTTAAAATTTATTAAAAACAATAATCAGCAAAAAAATTATAAAGAAATATAAGCTAACATCGATTAAAAAAAAAAAAAAAAATGTAATAATATTTTTTCTAAATATCAAGCTCTGTTTGTTATTTAATCATTACTTTCAAATGTTGAGATATTTGTGTTCATAATTCAAGTTATGTACTTCTTCTAATCCTAAATTTTGCTTTATTGAGTACGACATTATCAAAAATTAAAATAATATTTATAATTAATAATAGTTTTAAATATTAAATAACTACGCAGTTTACTCGATAAATCATTGACATGTGTGTATAATTCAGGGATCAAAAAATGTGTACAACATTTGTAAACAGATATAAAAGTGGTACTTTTCAAATTTTTTTAAATAGATTCAAGAAAAAAGTTAAAAAAAAAAAAAAAATATATTAATCAATCAAAAATCGTAAATAAAATAAAAATCAGCTGTTAAATTTAATCCCTGCGCTTGCATTATTATACTTGTAATACAACATTGATTTTTTTTTTTTTTTGTTGCAGCAGCATGCTTAAATTATGGACATTCGTGCTGGGGAGGTAAATCATAACATACAACTAATAATAAAATTAAAATTATAAAAATAAATTTTATAACAAAATAATTCTGAAAACCCATTTGTGGTTATTACGTATAAATTAATATGTATTTTAAATAGCTCACGGCAAGCGCAATGTAGATGGGACAAACGATCTAGACACTTTGTTAAGATATCGAATGGCTTTATTAAAGAAATCTGTACACAAAGACTCATTTATAGATCCAAATCCAGACCAATCACAAGAAGATATGCCAAACTATTACAACATTTTTAAATATTATTCGAAAATAAATTCAATAAAAACAAATAAGTAACAAATTCAAAACTATTTTAATGACAATATTCAAATAATATCAATTTTATCTGTCGTAGCGATGACACTGTTGACACCTGGAGCGTTGAACCGAGCAATCACTTACCAAACGATAGGTCATACTACGAAGATCAAGTCTTAGATCCCAGGGTTGAATATAAGATTATGGTAAGCTTCATTTTAAAAGGTAGTGATCGTTTGGATGAATATTATAATTTTGACCCAAAAATTAACACACCCATTTTACCACCGTACCCTATCTCTATTATTCCAGTGGTTCAAAAATGTATTGACTAAATCTACGAGTTAAATTGTCTAACCACGTTTCTACAAAATAATTAAAACTTACTTTTAGACCATTCTCGGATTTTTCACTTTCGATTATTATCCCATAAATTAATTATCTAGATGTTCTATAGGAACTAAATGTTAAGCTAAAAGACTATGAACCTAAGTCTTAATTAGTGGATCACCTCCAAATGAAACATTATCATTTCGAAGACCAACATCAACATCTTTCCTATAAACCGCTTGAGTTTAATGGCTTATATTACTTTACATAATCGTTTTATAAATCACAAATCCACAACCAAGTTTTGAAACAAAAATAATTTGAGAATTAAGCGGCGAAATAGGTAGCCGACAAAATGGGATTAATTTGGCGGCAAAATGGCATAGTGGCGTAACGTGAAATTATTTTTACTTGCAAAAGCAATATGCACGTTTATGCTGCGCTAGAAATTTTATTTTATTCATTATTGACTTTACATCACTATAATATATCATTATGTATATTTAAAATTAAATTTAATTATTAATTAATAATTATATATGTATATATCAATTTTTTAATTGATAATATCCATTTCTATACAGCATATAGATTATTAATTAATATATAAACCTATTCATACTTATTCGTCCAAACGGTCTACGCCCATTTGTACACTAGAAAGTTAATAATATTATTATTTGAATAATTTTCAAATCTAACGTTTTTAATTACTAAAAAACTAATTTATGTATTTTTTCCACAGAAAATATAGGCGAAGAATTATCACAAATTATTCTTTAACATTATTAGTTAATACTTGGAGAAACCGAAAAAAATAATATTTCAAATATGTAATAATACCTTTTAAATTTCAAATTAATATGGTTATTGAAATTTTGGTCACATATTTTAATTTAAATATACTAACCTACGAATAACGTAAATGCAAACATTATTTATATTTTCTAATAACATTCTAAAAAATATTTGTTTCTTTGTATTGAATATGAATTATGTATTTACTCGTATTTTTATTTTAAGAATAATATGTAACAAAGTCTTACTTATAAACATTTATTTGCTTACAATAATATAATTTATTAACAGATAGTTATTAAATCTGTAGGTGATACAATATTGTATTTTAAAAATGCTTCTAATTCCAAATAAACAAAATCATACAACAATTGGTTTTTATTTATTAGCTTAAGATTAAACCGTAACATTATTTTAACAAAGGTACTAGATATTATGCCTCTTTATAATGTAAAAACTATATTTATCATATTGCTAAATAATATTATAACAATGACATCAAATTTAATAGACTGAAGCAATAAATTTAATTTTTAAATAAACAAAACCTTTCTTTTATAACCAATATTGTTAATTAAATATATATCTCATACTTGGTTAGATGTAAAATGGTGGTGTGATCACTGAGGGGAGTCTAAAATATGCCATAAATCATGTTCTAACTGTCGTACCTCATTCTTTAATAACATACTTTAAGGATTACGACATGTGCAATATTGTTATTGAAAAATATAAAACAATATTGTTTGATAAAAACATTAAATTTAAACTATTAAAACAACTTTAAAGAAATAAAGGTTAAATAATACATATTTAATTTTAATAATTACAAACTGATAAAACAAAACTAATTTTAATAGTATTATTATATATAGGTATATAATGAAAATTAGTTGAATACAAGTACATGGTAAACATCACTTATTAAAAATAAAATGAATTTTTAGGTTACAAATAAAAACGTGCAATAGCAATATAATGCAAAATTGTAAAATCGTTTTTGATAAATAAATACGTTAAATTATAAATAATAATTTCAGTATAATAAATGAGCGACTTGTTTTAGAAATTAGTATGAATAGATTTAAGTATGGCAGTTTACTTAAGAATACATTATATTTTAAGTTAAGGTATAGAATCATTTTTAAGAACAAATGATTATATTTTTCTGGATATATAATGTAATTACTAATTAATAAGAAATACAATTTATCGTTGTTTTAAAAATTATTAAAACATATTAGTACAAATAATAATAAATATAAATAAATATATTTAACTTTTTGTATAGTAAAAAATTCTTTTTTAACAATAATTACTTCAACGTAGTAAAATTAATTTTGTATTAATATGACATTAATCTCAGAAAAATTATAGAACAGATCTAGGAAAATGCACCTAAAAAATCTAAATTTTATTGAATAAAAAAGCTCTTTACGGGAGTACCCACTGGTTTATATTAATACTATATATGTATTTATATTAGCTTTAAAAAATTTTAAAATATACATTTTTTAATTCCAAACTAATCAATTTCATCACTTAAAATGTATTACCTTCAATATCCGAATCGTTATATTAGATCATATATTATTATTAATTTATTTAACAATATACTCAAAAAATATGATAAATTGAAAGTACCATATTACGCAAATTTAAAAGGCGACACTTTATTTCATATAACCAAGGAAATTACATTTTTATACCTATTTTTCTCAACATTATTTAGTACTATTTAAATTAACTTACTCACTTAAAATATTAATATATATTTAATTTTTTTTTTTTAATCAATTATATTTATTATTATTATTCTTCTACATAGTAAATTAAAAGATTCTTTTATATTTTATTAATTTTATTAGATCATATCTACAGTATACATTAAGTACCAATTAATAGTAAATATGATAAAATGTGTTACTTCGTACGAAGCCAATATTATAAAAAAGAAAACCAATATTAAAGTTAAATACAACAAAATGCATATGTATAGTCTTACATGAAATCTAGATTTACTATGTTAGAATATTTTCTTTGATTTTGTGAGTAGATTTGATTTAAAAAAACTATCTGAAATAAATAATAATTTATTATATTTGTTATAATATTTCAACGCATGTTATTAGGACCTAATCGTGTAAGATTTTTTGTCTTATATTAGTTTTATTTTGAGAGTTATATCATTATTATGTATACCATTAAAACAGAAACAATAATTGTCAAATGCAATTTGAATTTACCGGCTGCTCCCCACCCACATTCAATGTCGTTTTTAAAAGCTTCGGCTAGTGGTTTTTTCCTATCTCCACAAGCAGCTATCTCAAGATCTTCGTCACCAATAAGACACGTAGATTTACTAATTGAATAGTGTTCAACGTCTCTGTATCTATTCGAAGGCACTGTTGACGGGTCTTCTTGGTTACACAAAAATTGACGTTTTTTACGATGCCAAACTTCCATCCAGCTATAAACATAATTACATGACATGCACAAATAAAGCTATATAAAAAAGCTCAACTCATTAAAAATGCAATAATACAACATTTTTTAAATACAAAAAAAAACATAGGTCTATTCAAAAGAAATTAATATTTGAAAAATTGTTTAAACTTGACTACGCTGTCTATTTGTAGTATCAAAATGTTAATGTACCTACTTACTGTTTATATTCGCATATACAAAGTAACATTATACAAAGTGTGTCTTATATTATTACACGCTTGATTTCTTAATGAATATAAACCGATAAAATCGAATTTCAAAAAAAAAAAAGAAAAAACATGTTTCTTTATTTTGTACGTATTTATTTATTATACGCTAACAATTCCATAAAATAAATTTTGTATCTATAATACAGCGTTGACGTCATATCTCTTCAAATGTTACTTTAAACTAATTTATTTACTTCGTTAATACAAACTTACAAGAAATATGTCATACTGTTGTATGAAGCACAATATTATTGCATCATAATATTATTATGTACAACTCCACACAATAATACAACTTTTAAATGTTTAACATGATCCAAACATTGGTATATCATATTATTTATTAATATTTTATTATTTTGTACAAACTCTAAAATCTAATCTATTAACTATTTTTATGAATTGGTATATTATATTATATTTCAACATTTATTTATGTAAATATACTGAGATTTTCTGGAATGATATTTATAGACAACTATGTAAATTAATCTTAGCAAAAAAATACAAAATTACCCAATATTGCAATCACAAGTCCATGGATTCCCAGACACTTTTAGCGAAGTTAAAAATGTTTGACCATGATGATTTGGTGAAATATTAGTAGATGGATTTCCTATTGACTTCAGCGAATTATTTCTAATATCTAAACTTATATTTCTCACAGTCCCCATATGTCGAAAAACGTCACTTGATATTGTTTCCAAACTAGTATTGAAAATTGTCAAATTCAAATTTGGATATCTCAGACCCTAAAAATAATTTTCTATTTATTTAATTAGAACACTTAATATACTAAATACATTTATAAGTCATAAGATTAACAATCATTCAAATTAAATATCCTTACTCGAAAAATATTATTTAATACAAGACCGTGTAAAGCTTTTCCACTAATCGTGAAGTTCCTTAGTTTATATGGAAATAAACCAATTAATTCTTTTCCCATTCGTGATAGTTTATCAACCTGGAACCAAATAAAACACCTTTATAATAATTTAAATACAATCGTACTTAATCATTATTAACGAAATTTGTTGGTATCTAATCATTAATAATATAAAGTATAAACACAAGCTATCTGATTTCCTATACATTATTTAAATCAATATATTAATTAAAATAAAATCGATGGTAAGTAAAGACTATATAGCTACAATTAATTACAAACCAACTATAATATAAACGGTGTATTATATAAAATAATACATAGTCTTTGTTATAAAATGTATGCATCAGCCAAACCTTAAGTAGGAAACAAAAGTTTAAAAATAAACAAATTAAATTAAAAATTCGATTTTTAGACTTTTTCTAATTATTATAATTATTATACTTGCATCAATATTTATAAAATATTATAAAAAAACCATGACCTGATGACTTTTATTTATAGTCTTATTAAGCCACTGAATTACATGAATTACAATTATTAATAAAAATAATAAATTCAATCCTTATTTTTGTACTTGAAACACTTGATTAAATAATCTCATCTAATGGTGAGATAAAATTAATAAGACTCCAGAAAATACTTTTTTTTTTTTTAACAAAAGAACATTATTTGCATATTATACTCAAATTTATTAATTGCCCGTAGTAATTTTAACAGTTTTGTAGGGTAACGAATGATAGTTTATTATATTTACCACTACTACTAATAGCCAATACTTACTTTAAGATTCAAATTTCTAAGAGTATGAACGTCAGAAACTATAGAAGGAATATTGAAATCCTTAATACCAACAAATGTACTGATTACTAGTGTTTGTAAAGATGTCATTTTGTTTAAAGCACCAGTCTGAAAAATAATACATAATAATGAAAATAAATATAGCAGTTTTTTTAAATAATTTTTCTAACTTCAAATGATAAAAATGGCATATAACTCAAATCTAAAGTAATCAACTTTTGAACACCAGTATTTAAAGTACTGTTATTCAAATCATAAATATGATTATTAGATAAATTAAGGTTGTTGAGCTCTGGTAAATTCATAATAATAGATGGAAATCCAATTAATTCATTATGACTTAAATCTAAATTCCGTAGCGATGATAAATTAGAAGCTCTTTCTGGTCCAACAGATGATATTTGGTTTCCAGATAAATCTAAATTTATAAGAGATGGTAGTGGCAATTCTGGTATCTGAAAAAAATATAAAATGACATATTATTATATACACTAATAAAAAAGTAATCCAGTATAAAACACTCACGGATGTTAAAGAAATATTTTTAAGCCCAAGATGTTGAAGCGACTGTTCGAGGCCTAAGAACATACGACCTCTATTTTCAAAACTCAATGCATTATTATGACTTAAGTCAAGGTAAGTTAAATGAATTAAACTCGCAAAGTTTGAATCTTCAAGATGTACCAAACGATTACCAGCAAGATTTAACCGTTTTAAGGACTAAAAAAACAAGATAATTAGTTTAATTCTTGATAATAAAGATTAATATTACTTACTTTAAACCTAGAAAACATTTCAAAAACAGGTAATGCTGTTATTGTGTTGAAAGATAAATCCATATCACGTACAATGCCCGCAGAATGTGTACTAAATGATAAAACGGGCATACGAGACAATTCGTTATGAGCCATGTTTAATACCTCTAAATTATCTTCGCTGAAAAACATGTCTGGTAATACTCGAAGTTTATTATATGATAAATCAACTAATCGAAGTTCAGTGAATCCTTTAAACAAATCATTAGGTAAATCTGCTAAATGATTATGAGATATTTTGAAAACTTGTAGTCTTTTAGATCCCTTAAAGGAATCAAATCCAACTTCAGCGATATTGTTATGTCCAAGATCTAACCATATAAGATTATTTAAGTAACCAAACACATTTCTAGATACTTGATGTAAATTATTAAATGACATGTACAAATAACTTAAGCTTGACTCCATTGGAGAAAAATACTTATCTTCTATACTTTTAATGTTATTATATGAAATATCTAAAACCTAAAAATAAAAAATAAACCACAATAAACATCAAAACCATCGTTTTTCTTTTTTTAAATTTACCCTAATATTTGATTGTACATAGAAGTCCTTTGTAGATACATTATAATGGGATGATAGTTTCGATAATAGATTGTGACTAACGTTCATACGGAAATATGAAAGCATTCCAACCTAAAAAAGTAGTAAGAAAATTTAATAAATATAACTTATGCAACATATGGTTAATCGAGTTTATTTTTATATTACTTGATCTAAAAATGTAAAGTCCATGTGCTTAATATAATTATAAGCCAAATCTAGTTCTTGTAAATAAGGTAAATTTTGAAATGCTTCTATCTCCAACTTTTCAATTTGATTCCCTCTTAAAATTAACCATCTTAAACGCTCCAGATTAGTAAAAGCATGTCTTTCAATACGATTTATTCGATTTCCATCCAAATGAATCTTTCCCAATGATGGTAAATCATCAAAAGATCCTTCTTCAATTTTTTTTAAAGAGTTAAATGACATATATATTTCTTCCAGATGATTGTGACTTCCTTCTTGTCCACCCTAAAAAGTTGAAATTATCAAAAACTTAATCTACCTAATTATAAAATAGTTTTTATCTACTTGAAATGTCCCTTTGTGCAAAGTCTCTATCATGCAATCTTGTAGCTTTAACATCCTTAAATTTGTTTGAGAGTGAAAACTCGATTCTCGAAGATATTGCATATGATTATTACTTAATTCCAAATATTTCAAATTATTCAAATACCGAAAAGCTTCCGCTGGTATTGGTTTAAATGTAGATGCAAAAGCGTGTGACATTTTAAGATATTGAAGAGAATGTCCAATCTATGTTAAAAAATAATTTTTACTTAGAAAAATTTTAATTTTAATTAAAAAACTGTATTTTATAACCTCTTTAAATGCATCAGAATCCAATGTGCTTATTATATTTTCAGACAAATCTAAATATTTTAGTCCATGGACATGCTTAAATGCATGTGCCTTGATTGTTTTTATATCTGACCTTGTGATCTGAAGTTCCTCCATATCAATAGTAAAATTCATAAACATATCTGGTTCTAAAATTGATGTGGTCATCTTTGACAAAGAAAGTCGGCGAAGATACTTAAAACTGATACACAATAATAAGATACTCTACTAGTATTACTACAATTTAATGTTATATTCACATACCCATTAATGGTTTTAATTTGAAGCGGACCATTATTCCATCCAGAGAAATCGAAATCTTGCAAAGAATAAAATTCGTGATAGTAATTATCTTTTTCTTGAGCAATTTGTTTATTATCCTCGCGAGCTACGATCTTTTCGTTTGTTTTTTTCTTCTCGTTTAACTTTATTATCTTTTCTGTTACCTCGTTATGAATAGGAAATAAATTTTTTATTTTATTATCTCCAAGTCCTAATTTCATAAGCATGTTAAAATTTTGCTGTAACTTTTTAATAGGAAATTCTGTTATGTTATTATTTGACACGTCCAATGTATGCAAATATGTTTCGAGGCCTTTGAATGCTTCAGATGATACATTATAGATTTCACAATCGACCATAAATATCTCTCGAATTTTAGTGTTTTGAAATGCTCCATCCTAAAACACTGATAATTATTTAATTGGCCAATACACAGTAAAATTTAAAAAATACCAAATAAATCTTTTATTTTATAACTGTAAAATTGTAATCAATGCATTCTTTTATATTTTATAATTGAATTGATAATTTACACATGTAATGCCAATAAATATTTCTCATAAATTTTAATTTCACGTATTTTTAGATTTTCATTGTTTATTTATAGTTTAACACTAATAAATTCAAATAAGAATTTTCTACGTTCACTAAATTATTTAAATTTCAAATATTTACATTTTAAGTACCTAACACATATTATACAAATGTGTAAGTACAACCAATATGTTTCAATAAAAATAATACCTATATTTATTATTTATATTATAAAATATAAAAATTTTATATTCACTTGAATATGTGTTATTGGATTTCCATTAAAATATGTTTTATTTATAGATTCAAAATTCTGCAAACTTTGTTTTTCTAAAATTTTTATGTGATTATATTCCAAATGAAGTTCGTCTAGAAGAAACTTGTGTCTTCCACCACTCCGTGATGTTACTGATAATAATGATCCTTTTGTATTTTCAATTAAATTATAACTAACATCCAAATATTTCATAAATCTATAAAACATTAATTTTCAATAATTATAAACATAATTTACATACATATGTATATTAATATATTATATATACACTCATAATAAAGTTTAATAAATAAATAATGGTTTGTTTTTTTTTTGTAATTTAACAATAAATAAAACCTGTTTCTTTTACTTAGGCCTATTAAACAAATATTGCTATTAATTTAAAAATTAACTTTCAGGGATCAGAACAACAAAATAGCGTTATTGATATTAAACTAAATATTAATTTATAAGCAACTATCGACTTATATAAAAATCATTAAACTTACTTCATCGCTGATGACGATAAATGCATGTATGGAATAAATTTCAACAAATTATCAGCCAAATTAAGTCTGTATAATTGTAATGGACCGTCTTGAAATGCATTTACATGTATTTCAGAAATCATATTACCAGATAAATCAAGTGTTTCTAGAAACATAAGTCCATCAAAAGCCCTGTATGGCAAATATGTAAGTGCATTATTTGCAAGCTTTAAAACTCTAAGAGTATTCTCCAATCCATTCCAATCACCCATCTTTATCTCTGATATTTGATTGCCTAATATAATATCAATAATATTATAGTTAATAAATAATTTTATAATTCCCAGTAGGTAATAAATTGTACACTTCAACGAGTTCAACGCATACCTGACAAATTAAGTACTTTTAATTTTAATAATATTCGTAACGCCCGACTTGGGACATAATTTAAATAAGTATTAATTAATTCTAGTTCCCATAATGAATGCTCTAATCCATATAAAGAATCATCATTTAAATTTGGCAATGGATTGTCTTGGATTGTCATCTTATAAAGACCTAAAATATAAGACTGAATTATAGATTATATTTATATATATATACACGGATAGTTTTATAATTCATAAGATGTTATTCAATGACTCATTTTGTTATGATAGACTTCTAACTTCATGAATATCATCTGTAAAAAGTGACTTCTCAGCTCCTAGCAAGCCTTTCTATCAAACATTATTCATTATCATTTAAGCTTATTTTACAAAACTAATATAGATTATTAAATTTAAACAAAGAATAATATATATATATATATATATATATATATATATACTTCTTATTAAAAATTTTTAAATATATTTGAACAATATATGAAATAATATAGTAAGTAAGATATTTTTCAAAATTTTACCAACGTATATTGTTATTTAAACTTAATGATAAGTTAGTAATATATTTTAATGTTAATGAGAAATAGTTACATAATAACACTAAATGCATCTGTAATTATTAGTAATAATAATAATAAATAACGATTATTCTAATGACTAATGTTAAGTTGAATATAATAATTATTATTAATTAGGGCTGGGATTTTGATGCAAATGCATTTTTTTCTGGCGTTTTGAAACGTTGGTCCGTAGGTATAAAATGTGTTTTAGGTGATACTGATTATTATGAAGTAACTTTTTTGCATTTTTTGACAAAACTAACCTTATATGCATTTTTTGACGATTTTAGTGCATTTTCTTAGTTTTTAGAGCATTTTTCACAGTTTATTCATAAAATGAACAAAAATTATTGCGACTAACAAAAGACTTTCGGCAAACTGCCGACGGTACGAATATTAAATTATATAGCACGACGAGTTATTCGATAACAATTTTTTTTTTAAATTATTATTTTAGAATTAATTAATAAGAAAACAGAAGTACAAGCGAACTAAAAAAGTAACAGCGACCAATACTATTAAAAAAAAAAAAAAATTAAAAAAAATATACTACTGTGGTATCTTTTAAAAATTTTTTCCAATTTTTAGGCTATCATAAATATAATTTAAAAGCATTTTTATAATAAATTTTTTGAGTTTTTAAGTCATTTTTGCATTTTTTTAGGACATTTTTTGTGATTTTTTTAGGATATTAATATCCCAGCTCTAATAATAATTAATAAGAAAATAAAACAAAAATAAAATTATTAAATTATTAAAATTACTGTTATTGAAGTATATATTGACATGGGTAAAATAATAAATTAACTGCAATTTTTCTATACAAGTGATTTCATTTAAGTCGATGATAATTGAATATAAAAAAAAAAATAGTAACTATACTATTTTGATAACTTTGCCGATTTTTGAGAGTAATTACTCTTAATATGGCGAGAATTAGATGTAAACACTTTTACCAATGATTTATTATATATTGTGCAAATAATCAAAAAGAAATATAAAAAAAAATATTTCCTCGTAAATAATTTAAAAATAAAATTACATTGAAGACTATTTTTAACCACTAACCAAAAACCAAAAAAATCATGGTTTTCAAACAATTAACCGCGGTTAACATTAAATCTGATATAGGCACCTATCTAAAGAAATGTTTATTGATTACCATAATATCAATGCATAACAATAAATGATGACTCATTTACTTAAATTTTCAACACGTACAGAAGCGATTATAGGAATCAAAGTTTATTGTTACGTACCGTGTTATTTTACACATATATATTATACGGAGAGGTGATGTGTATACCGATGGAATAACATATTCAAACAGTGTAGTATCGAACGGCTATGGCGATCACCTGCACATCGTGATATTTAATATAATGAATAAGACATGATCACACGTCCTGGACTTCTCAGAAATGATGAGTAAACGATAGTGTTAACATTGTACTATTTAATATGACAATCAAGACTTGAAACACGTCTTGTAATTCTTAGAACCGATGAAATCGCAGGAAAGGCGCCCAACTGAATAATACATTTAATTTAGAGAGCTCCTTTAGGTCATCGGAAGTCACCACCTCCTCAGTCACCACTCTTGACGGTTAACCATATATAAGGGAGACCAGGGCAAGAGCTCAGCAGACGGTTAGGGATATTCGAGACGCTCAGAGGCAGGTCGTAACACCACTCACGGTCTCGTCTATCAGTATTTCAGAGGCAGGTCGTAACACCACTCACACCATCTTGTGCTTATAAAATTGTATTCTTGTACGAGTTAATTGTATTAGGTAAATAAAGACTTAATCTTTTAACTTGCAAACATTAGTATTTCTATTTCTACGTTGATATATGAATCGACGTTGACATAAGGGACGCAACATTATATAACAATTTAAGTCCTAATTTATTTAGTAAAATCGACCAAAATTGACATTTTATATAAATTATTTACTTATATGTATGTATTAGTTAACAAACACCGAATAGAACAATTTACCAGTATTGACGAGGAAGTAAGGCTCTATGCTGTCCAAGTCATTGTTCCTAAGATGAAGTGTCGACAACCTAGAACGGTTTATAGTCGGTGGTATGCGTGGAAAGTACACATCAACACAATGTACTTCACCCAAACTGTCGTATGACTTGGTGCATGAACACAAAGGATTGAACGTACAAGGCTGAAAGTCTTGCAAAAAACTTTCAACTCCCGTGCAGGGTATCCATAATATCGACAATGCAAATACCATAAATGCATATCCTATGTTTGTGGCAGTCTGTAATTAAATAACTTCAGATTTAAGTATATTTTAAAGTAATAAATACATTAAGTAGATATGGAATACGCTCAATAACATTCATGTATATTAATGACATTAATAAGCGAATGTATGGGCTTCAAAATATGTTTTAACAAATAAATAAATGCAACCGGAAGAATAATGTGTGTAACAAAATTTGAAACAATCAAGTAATGCATCTCACAATTCTTGAAAAATAATTGGTGTTAAATGAATGATTAAAATGAAAAGCAAGGGTCATGCTATACTATAATTATGACGTGGTCATTAAGATATTTTTCAATGAAGAAATTTAAAAATAAAATAGAGTATCACCATGTTTAATTAGAATACCATAAATAGGTAGACATTATGAAATATTATTAATTTTACATTTATAATGAATATACGCTATCACATTAATTGTATATTAAATGATAATACACTACTTAATTATTCTCAATATTTATTAATACGTACTAAAAGTTATTCATTGAGTTTATACTTAATGATAAAAAAGACCATACGAAAATTAGTATTAAAACATTGAATGACATGACTAAAAATAAAATTAGGTAATGTTATTTTCCATCATATTCAATTTACTCAACGTTATTTTACAACCTATACGGAGCTCGAACTCATATCAATGAGCCCCAAAACATTCTCGTCTAGTATCTTACTGTTAAAACATAATAAATTATTACATAAAATGTTAAGGGTACGCAGTTTATAAACATTTGTTTTCTAATTAAAAGCTATTTATGCAGTCGCATTAATCGACTAAATCTAAAATAAAGTACTACGTATTTGCAGCGCACATGTGCACATTTACCTCCTAGGAATGTTAAATAGGTGTGTGACATCGATTCGTTTAAAATTTGTAACATACAATTTAAGAACATTATTAATAACATTGCATTAAATATTTAAGATATACTAAACCTAATAGCTCTGATCGTGAAATGCCAATATCTCTGGTGTTAATCTCTGGTATTGAATATATAATTTAAATTACACCTTTAATATTATTCAGATATTTACTATTTACATTTATTTAAGTTAATAAAGAAATATTACATACCGTATGTTATTAATCAAACAAGTAATCGAATCTTAAGAAATTCACGTTCTATTAAGCAACCGCCCACAATGTTAAACTAACGTTGATTTGTTTTTCTCAAGAAAGAGGTTCGTAACCCATTGTCTACTTTAATTAATTGTTTTTTATCATACTCCTAACGTCAGCGCATAATACTTTAATAAAACTATAAAGGAAAAAATACATTTATATATTGTATTCTACTTGTAAACTCAAATACTTATATATTTGCCTAATAATGAATCTAAAATATTAGAATTTGTTAATAATATAATAAAGTTTAAAGACCATTTTAAAATGTATTAGAATATTTTTTTAAATTCTAAGTGGAGCGTAGAATGCATTAATTTTACAATCATATCTAAAAATACTCAAATAAATCAAATTCAGTATATTTTCTGATATAAAATTCAAACTAATTAGGTTAGGATATTAATACTATTATATACATAATTTGATTATCTACATTTCTTAATAATTGGATAAAACAAAAAAAACTTAGAAAAACTGAAATTTTAACACAAAATTACAATTTTTTTTTAAATCAATTATATTATTTTGTTATAATTCAAAAATATTTTTCTTGTGAGTTTGAAGTTTTTACGTATTTTATTATATTTTATATACACAATGACTTTTTTTTATGATATTTCAATTAATTGTGTACTTATTTACACCACGAACCTATTCACACCATTCAACACTATAATTCTACCATATTATTAATAATAAAATAATTGAATATAATAGCAATATAAATATATTATCATAAAATATATCTATATATATATAGATAGATATATATCAATAGGCTAACTGACCATCTTCGCTCAGAATCGTTTTTTGTACCTGCCTCTTCAATAATTTATCATTGAGTTCAAATTTAACGTATACTTTACAGTGACTTACACAATGACGAGATACGCTCAACACCTTCTGTACAACGTAGTAGTTTCCTACTTCTTTCCCCTTTTTTTATTTTTAACCTGATTTATAGAAGCATTTTTAATATAATTGAATTAACAAATTTAATTAATTAAATTAAGCTACAATTGAAGTATGATTAACGATCCTAACACAAAAGTCATCTCTATATAATTATACATACAAAAGATTAAACGCTGTATAAGTAGCATAAAATACTTTTAAAATATTAATGTTTTGAAAAAATCATTCAGAAATTAAACCCTGTAGGTGTTATGTAATAAATAAATATAACGTACTTAAAAAGTTAATGAGGGGAGGATAGAATTAAATTGTATCAAATAATAATAAAGATACAAATTTATAATACATAAGATTATTAAAATTTAAAAATATTATATAAAACACTTATAGGTACGAGCTAAAAGGATTCCCATAATCCCCTTTCATTTACCCACCACTATTTTACGATACTAAAATTATTTTATTTATTCACTATAGCTTCTTATTGTATACATTTTTATTCATTTATTCTATTATATTATTATTAAGATCCTTAAAGATACTTAATCTTTTATTTTTATACAAAATCTAATAAAAATTATATTATTAAATCATATTTTGATTAGGTATTAAAAATCTTAATTTATTTTTGAACGGAAACAAAAATTTAACTTATGTATTTTAAACATAAGATTTAAAATATCTACAAAAAACTTTTTGTGCAATAATAACTTTATAAAAACAATATTTTTATAATAGTATCTATAATAATTTAGAATGAACAAAAAAGACTTTCGTAGTGCTGTAAAGATCATTTTTAAAAAAATATTTTAATAATTATTCTTAAAAATGAAGTTTAAGTAGGATGCATTAAAAAAAAAAAATGTAAAAAATTATAGGCACTCAAATTTGTAAAATTAATTTTTCTTTTCATATAGTTTCTATAGCTCACAAAATGTGTAATTATTTCATTTTAACACTATGTACTTCTATATTTATTTTTCGGGATTAAAAGCGTATTACAGATTAAAGTTCAATATAATATCTAAATGCAAGTAAAATCGGAATAAAAGGAATATAATTGCAATTAAAAGCGTAAAATTCGATAATAGGCAAATTGAGAGTTCCAAAATTTATTTGAACAAGTACCTACCGAATCTTTTACTCAAATCCTAAACACCCAAGTTCTTTACAAAATTGGGTTTTAAACATGTGGGACTATTATAACATGTTGCTAAAAATAAGTCAGAAATCCTATATGCCATAGGTTTATAAAATTATGATTTTTAATAGGTGCGACAAGTACAGGAATATTAATATTGTGTATCTCACCATTTTTTTTCTTCTTTGTTTTCTTTGTTTTTTGTAAAAATTCTAATCGTTCCCACTACACTCGCTACGGTCGTTTACAGTTGATTTACATTTTTAGAGCAAATATAATGACAACATAATAATCTGACTCACCAACATGTTCCCGTATTGGTAAGCTAGTTAAACGCCGTCCGAACACTACTCTGTCCGTCCGAATGCCCGCGCGGTCTCCCATTACAAACGAAACAATAATTGACGAGCATTTGAAAGTTTTCTCCCAACCGATTCCAATATAGGATTAGCAACGATATATGTATAATGTACAGTTATAGTGCCGTGTACATTAAGTGTGCGTGCACGTGTCCACATGTCGCGGGTCTCGTACAATACCGCTTGACGCTTGACCTTACGGGGACCACAGAGTTTTATAAATATTGTTAATATAATGTACGGTAATATGAACTGCGGTGGCGTAAGGATGTCCGTTGATGAATGCCCCTCTGTTCTTGAATTTTTTTTTTGTTTACCTACAATGATATAATACAATAGTCGAATTAGCATGGCATTAAATAAAATAAAAAATTAACCAGGCTATGAAAAAAAAAAAGTTAATCAATGCAGGGGGTCAATGACAAATTATGCCAACCGGATATTATCGGAACTTTTACGGATGAGCCGCGGTCGATAGTAGGCAGCGGACTATTACTTATTATTATTAATAACTAGAGGCATTTCTGCTTTGTGGCTGTAGAGAAAAATATATTGAACAACGGCAATGAAAAAGACATTGTTTTTTGATGCCGCCAAAAATGAAAATGATTTATGAGATTAAAAAACTACGTATACTTTTTGAAAATTCAACATTACATGATGTTTTTATTAAATGCAAAAAATATATAAGTTAATTTTTTCAGTAATTACTTATTTGAAAAAAAAACGTATTCTATAAAACTTCAAAATAAGCATGCATTTACACTCTAAAAACTTCATTAAATGCATTCAGGACAGAACAAATTTGAAGACCGGTCGAATAGCTCTCGTGGGCCGAACTGTTTTTAAGTCCAACACCAATCATTTATTTAATTATAATCATGTGTACATATTTTTTTTTAATGGCTATAACATTATTTAATGATTATTGCAAAAAATATTTAATACATGCAATTATAGGTAATTAATTTGAACAAAATAATCTCTATTAATTTATTTATTTTATCTGTTTATAATGTGTATAGTTCACTAAATCTATATCGGCAATAATATTTGATACATTTTTGCGCGAAAATACGAGATATGGCGAATTTATGCAGTATTGGGTCGTGTTGTGTGCCCGTGACGGAAAGCGTCCACTGCGTAATTGCCTAATATACTGATATGAATTAATATAGGTACCTACGCATAATACGTATATTAATGCGTATAATATAATACCGTATTATTTTAATGTGAAGTCTTCGTCGTCAAATGTATTTCGAGAAACATTTCTATAGCATACACAGAAATGACAAGAAATATTATTATACCTATCGCCTCATAACATATATCTAATATCTAGGTACGTTGTTCGTATTAGACGGACGTACATTCGGCGAAAAGGATAATTTATCCAATTGACCATTTACTACGTATGTGCCTATTATACGCGAATATGGTCAATAGTCGGTCATATATACAATCGGTGGCGTAAGCAGACATTTCAAATGGGGAGAGATGTATTGTAGCAAAATATATAATGTGATTTTATTTATGCCGCATACACGCATTATATACACGTATTGATATTGCCATATATTGCTGTATACGTTTAATTAAAGTAAAAAGAAAATATATTTTGTCAATGGTCAAAAGTATAAGAAAGATATCTTCCTTTGACTTCTTTTCAACTCAACGTATCATCCCTTACTTATTTTTCATTAGCCCTCCTATATAGTCTCGATTGAGGATTATAAATTTATACTTTATAATCCAAGAAAATTTCGTCTCGTCTCGTTAGATTTCCTACAAACTGACAAATCACACAATATCCACAATAATTGTAGGTATTGTTTATTACCAACCACCTACTCTATTACTCCTCTACTCACTCGCTTACTGTCCAAACTTCTAAACTTATACTTCAATATTTAAGATTCTAAGTGAATGTATGATTTTTTCTTATCAACATTATGATTCGTAGAATTACTCCGGTACCTACTCGAAACTTTTAAGTATATTATTATATTTTTTGTACACTAGATGACAGCTTCAAGTACCTACAATGTTATTGGAAAAAAATGTTTTAACCTACCATATTACTTATAACAAAATATTATATTACCTACTATGATAGCAATATAAATGTATATTGTAAAATATATTAACGATATATTGTAGTCTGTTTTCGTTTGGAATCGTATTTTGTATGCAAGACCCATCGTTTAATTGCCTAAAATAATTTAACGCATACATCACAACAATGGTTACTCTTCAATGACGAGGTTCGCTGAACATCTACTGCTCATCGGAGCGGTAACCTATTTTCCACTTTAAAAAGTAAAAAAAAAATCTATTATAGTGAATCAAGAAAGAAAAAATACACGCAATTATATACATTTTTAAAATATTTATGGCTAAGACAATGGACAAAACTCCGTGAAATCAAAAATACAATATATCAATGGCCTAACCTCAATCTCAACCGAAGAGAAAGAATAGTTATCAATAATCTCCGGATTGGCTACACAACCTAACACAAAAGTTCTTTATGGCTAAAGAAGAACCTCCTCAATGCTCAACCTGCGGAATCATCTTAACAGTCAAGCACTTAATAACTGAATGCTTTAAGTACGCAGAAGACGCCAAAAAACATAACATCTCATCTAACATAGACGAAGCTTTAAGCCCCAACACGAAACATATCAACAACATTGTCAATTTTTTTAAGAAAAATTTTTAAGAAAACCGACTCAACCAAATCTAGAGCAATACGGCATCGCAACATACCCCAATACGGAACAGCCATAAACAATGTATTATTATTAAGCATACCTGTATTTATCTAAACGTACACATGTTAAGTTAAAAAAAAAAAAACTGTAACTAATGGCCTTTGCAGCCGATGTATTTTAAAATCAATAAAAAAAAATACATATATATTTTATAATCGAACATAAATAATTTCAAAACTGTTAATCGTGGAAATTATTTTTTAGCCATTACAAAATACAAACATGGACAGTGAAAATATTACCTATATCGATATATTATAGATATACTCATTATCCGTATGATCATGGAACATAAAAATACCTGCACAAGAGCGTCATACATTTAAATATGTTATACCTACTTTTAAAAATAATTGTTCGTTTGTTAAAAAACAAAAATAATATTTTTCTGCGGGTCAAGTCGTAGGTACCATACGAATGGCCAAGTGTATAAGTGTAAACATTATTTATAGTAGGGAGTAATTTATTTTACACAATATTTCAATGTGATCCCTTGTGTATTTACTATTTTTGATGGCGTTGTTAAAGTTTGTCCGGTGGAATTAATAAACGTGGTCAACCTGACACAGTTTTAGAACAAAAATTCCCGTGTTCCATTTCGGTTGACTGAAGTCATTACATAAATAATGTGTACATGTAAGACTTCCTTGACCAATAGACACTAGGTAGATATATAAGCCTTTAGGTCATTTCTAAGTAGATAATCACGCCGCGAGTATAAAACAAATATCCAGGTGCTTACCTACAATTAATATATAATAATATAAGCATTCTTTAATATTACATTTACATAGTTATTGTAGGTAGCGAACATCGTTTTAGTCAAATCTATGTTTATAAAGCATCGTTTTATAACAAAATTAATAAGTAAAAAAAAAAATGTATTATGAAACAAGTGTAACTTAGAAATATTGATACAATGATGTAATATAATGTTTTAAATTTAAAAGATTAAAGTGTACATCATGATTTCAATTAAAATATACTTACGATCAGTTCTACCCCTAAACAATCGGCAATATAAATAAAAAAAATTAAACACTACAATGACATGAATCACACCAAGAAAAGATCACTCAGTAACAAAACCTTAAAATCTAAAATTTCAAAGAATAGTCAGTGGATAACCCCCCCCCCCCAAAAAAAAAAAAAAAAAAACCCGGGGAAAACCCCCCCCCCCCCCCCCCCAAAAAAAAAAAAACCGTGGTAATAGTCACTTACTCATCCTGTTATAAAGCAGATTTTCGGACAATGATTATTTGGGCGTGGGTATAATACAGTTTTGACCAAAAAATGAATAGTCCGTTTGGACAAGTGAAATAAATTTTACCTAAGCGATGTATGGACTTAGATTCTAACGACATTGGTACCTATATCATACTTTATATTATTTTATACCAATATATTTTAGAATTTAAAGAATAAAGAGTTTATTATTAATCATGAATATTGTACGGATGAGATTTAATTTTATTATTTATAACTGTAGAACATATAAATTAATTTACTTATAAATCTGTTCAAACTAATTCGCAAAACAATATTTTTTGTAAAATAAGTACTCTCGCCTAAGCAGACCACATTTCGACTCAATTAACCCAAACCAAGCTAATCGCCACTCGTAAAAATATTAAATTTATGCGGATACCTTCCCATGTAATAATAAGAGGAAATTAATTTGCCAACAGAGCTCTTCACAAAGCAAGCAAAAATATAGCAAACTCCGTCGAAAAAATATCCTTCGACAATATATCCATATCAATTAAAATTAAAACCATCTTGTCGTGGCAACACTTCTGGGACCACTTACAGGATGGTTTTACCACTTACCAATAAACTTGAATCCATCAATAGTTCTGCGAAATAAATTAAGTCCAACAGTAGTAGATGTAAATTCATTTGTAGCATAAATAAATAGTTTAAAATTAGTCTCAATATTTTTAAAACTGCATTGTAAATAGACATGTCACATAAAGTAATACCTAAATAATTAAATAAATATATAGTAACAAAAAGTAATCAATTTCCAATAAATAATATTATTTTGAACAACATAACTAAAATTGGTATACTATGGAATTACTTAACTTATTAATTAATCGACATAATACACAGGTTATGATATTAAAATTTTATTTTTCATTAATTTTGTAGATACTATTGTTTATTCATAAGCTTGAAAGTCAAAATTAAGTGATGTGGATAAAAACTTAGTAAAAATAAAAAATGACACCGACATTAATGGGTAATCATTATCTCTAATTAGTTATTAGAATTTAACTATTCTAAAAGTAAATATGCCTCTAAAATATAAAAATTATACAATATAATACCTACTTTTTATTATTAATTATAAAATATTACTTCATCAAAACACATATTGAACAAAACTTTGATAAAATATGGAATTATATTATCATTATTTAAGTTCTAATATACATACATAAATCAAGAACTAATTAAAAAAAAATATTTTAATACAATATTTGTTTTATTTTTATAACAAATCAAAGTCCATTTGTTATATTGTTATACAAGTATACAACTTTCACTTAACATATATATTGAAACATTTTAAGCAGTAAACATACATATACATTTAAAAATAATAAAAATTAGAAAAATATTACCATCAAAACTCATCTAATTTAAATGGTCTGACAATACATGGAAGTTAATACAGTAATAAGTTTCTAGAGGTACAGTTGTTTGGTCCATTAATTTTTTCTTGGTTTCGCCATTAGTAGCATCTATTAATAAACATATATATACTTCAGTTCTATATTGGAAATTAAAATATGTAGAGAATTCATGTATTATAATAGTAATTAATGACTATCAGAGGCAGATAGGCTAAATTAATGTTACCGGGAAATGCATTACCATAAGGGCCCAATAAAAATAAAAGAAATACATTTAGACCACACACATATTATAATACATATTTTTTATATTTATAAATGTAATCATTAATCAATTTTTCATATGATAGTCAAAAGTTTAGATGCTATAATATTTTTAAATAAACATTTTCATAATACCTATGAAAACACTATAATAATATTATTATTTATTTTATTAGGTATAAATTGTATGAAGTTACATATTAGTTCTGTCCTGTGTGGCTGTGTATATTTTTAAGTATTGACTATTGAGTAGCGACTATATCGAATTCTGTTATTATAATAGTGTAGGAAAAAAAAAGCTTATTATAGAGAGGAGGGCAAACCGTGATTTTCCCGGTATTCCGGTGGGCCTATCCGCCTCTGATGAGTGATGATTAAATACAATAGCACAACTATCACTCGAATATTGGAAATATTGGAAAAAATTAAGTTAGGTTAGGTATATTTTATTTTATATACATTTGTAAAATATAAATGAATACAAGAGTGGATAAAATTTACTTTTTGAGAATAGATGATAAATAATTTCTTTCGATAAAAGTAATATATCAGATTGTATAAAAAATAACTTTAATACCTAAAAGCAATAGTATTAAACAACAGTAATATATCCTATTACCTTTAAAATTAACTAAAACAATCAGTAGAAACCATACAAAAAATTCACTTTAATCACATTAACTTACACAAAGAAAATTATTTTTAATAGATACCTATCACATAAACAATTATTACATTAAAATAAAAATCAATATTTCTTAAATTTAAAATTATGTTTGTTTATCAAATCATTAAATATTCAAGATGATTCACCAATCAAGTTCACTCAATAATAAAGTTTTTAAAAATCTGATATTTGGAATTTTCAAATACATAATATAAATACCATAATATAAGTTTTGGTGTTTTTTATACAACTGATGGACAACAAATGGAGATATAAACTTCTGTTGAATATCAAATCCAATCTACATCTATATTTTTGTAAAACTTTTTAAGGACTATTATCCTTGATATAAACATTTAAAAATAGATCAATTAATTAATCTATAAAATAATTAAAATTTATAAATTACTCAAATAAAATCTTCAAATTAATCATTTTAAACTTATTTACAGACCTTGGCATGGTATTTGTTTAGGCAATATATTTTCAGAATTGCGATGAAATGTACTAATAACACGTCGATTGCTATTTTGTGATGTTAATTGTAACGTCCAATTGTCATAAGTAAAAGCTCTGAAACCAAATTGTTAAATTAATAGTCATAATAATTAATAATATGATTCATTCAGATATTTATCAATTCATGAATATAATCATACTAAATATAATACTTTGGTATATGATGTTCAATAAAATGTGTATTGATTGATGATCGGAAAACCTGAGGTGGTAATGTTTTCACAGAAGTAACAGCTTTTATAGGAGATGAATCTCCGAGATAATAACGCAAAGCATTTGTAATGACAGGCATCATACTTTGTGTAGTTATATTTAACATAGATTCTGTGACAGAAGCTAAATCTAAAACTGTATGAACTCTACATAACCAAATCATCCATGAGTTTAATGTTGTCCACCATTCTGAATACTCAATATTACAAAATCTAAAATAAAATAGTATAAATTTAAAATACACAAAATTAAATATAATATATAACACCAACTTATAATTATTTTCTAATTTTAAATGATCCGCTAAAGCTATTTTAGAAATTAAAAATGCCTGAGTATAATCATTTTTAAGTTTTTCAATTCCAATTTCAATTAATAACTGAACAGGGTCATAAAGTTTTTCTGGATTAGAAGCTGTGTTGCCTGGCAAAGATTTTAATATTTGAGCTAATCGCGTACCGTTTGATGATTTAATCTGTTTAATAACATATACCAATATAATAATAGTTCATTAGTAATCCTTAATTTCATACATACCAATGGTTTGAAAGTTTCGTTTCTTACAGCTTTGTACAAATGTTTGAAACATTCAATTAAATCATTATATGATTTGCATTCTAAATAATATTTATATTTAATATTAATTTTAAAAAAAATGTCTTCATTGTTTAGTACTAACCCAACAAATAAGTCCAAAGTTTATCAGTGAATTCTTGTTGAATACATTCTGCACCAATAACATCTCTAACACATTGACAAAACAGTTTTTGATCATTATCTTCTTGGCCTCCAAACTTGCCTCGTTTGTACAATGTAGAAGATATGCTTTGCAACATAGCAGGAAACATTTCAACGATTTGTCCATTAGCACTACCTCTTATATCACCCTTTCAAATTCAACAAAAGTTATACATTAAAATAAAATAGTGCTAATAGAATATTTACTTGAAATTGAGGAAATACAATGTTATGTCTATTTGTTAAACATTCATCTTTTAAATAAGTTAATTGTTCAATTAGATCCTCCAAGAACAGTAATTGGTGCCATAATGGGTGTAATGGACTCGTTTCATGGCCTAGCATACACTGAACATTCTATAAAAAAATTAACATTTAATTTTGTTATCATTAACATAAAATCCAGTATACTGAGAACACTTGGCATTTGTAATATAGTAAAAGCTTATGAAAGTGCACTGATTTAGGCATACCATATATTATAAAACTCTAATTTTCATATGTTTAATAATTTATTTTTTATCAATAAGCAACATATTGCATTTATAAGTTTCAACACAAATATATAATACAAATACATTAAGACTCATCTAAGGTGAATCATTAATAGAAATCTGACTTGTATGGAAAATTACTTTAGAAATAACGACTCTAATTAAAATTTAACATAGGATGAAACCTTAATAAAGTAGACAGATCAGTCAAACATAAAACAAAAAAACATTTTTTGGTCCAGTAAAATTTCAATTATACAAACCTTAATAAAACATAATATGTTGTAAAAATGGACAAAAATTATTTTCTATTCACAAATATTATTTTGATATTAATAATTAAAATTTACTATTGATAATATATATATGTAAGTACCTACAAAATTATAAAAGCTATCAATAGCACATATTGTTATTGTACTTATTACAAAAAAGTCTTCCTTGTATTTATTTTAACCAATTAAATACATAGAAAGAACTGCTTATTTATATTAAGAAAAGAATCTGGGATCATTTTCTATGAATTAATACGATTTAAATTTATGTGTAACAAAATCATGGCCTAATAAACTAATTATTAACTGAGAAATCTATTTTTATAAAAAAAAAAAAATTAAGCAAAAAATTTTGCATGCATTTTGGAATTTATAATTATACATTGTATTGAGAATATGCACAAATTATAAAATGTATTTATTTAATTTAATACTTACAAATTATCTAAAAATTTTAAATTGTCTTCATAAATTAATAACTTATTGAATTTTATAATTTTTCAAATCTTATTTATATAATATATGAAATTTATGCTGAATATATTAAGGCATTCAATTTAATTAGCAAAAAAAAAAAATAAAAAAAAAATAACTAAATTAATAAATAGCTTTTATGAAACTATTACATAATTATATCATATACTTACAATAAATGATTCTGTTGTCATGAGAGGAGCAAAAAGAGATGGTCGTCGCCAACTAAGATTAAGTGTAACCATGCCTGGACTATTTTCAATAAATGTGAACTCTTCAGTATTAGAAGCTGCAGTCAAATTAATAGCTGCAGATACTTTTGATTCCAACTAGATTCAACAAACATAATTAATATTTTTTATAATAAAAAAAAATAATACAATATTTTAATTAAACTACAATTTATTTACAATCATTGATGAAACTTGTGGAAATTTCTTATGCGTTTCTATCATATTTTCCACAGAAAGCTCATCATGATCCACATTGTTACATCCTTTATACTCGCCCCAATAACGTGAATGCCATCCTTTATAAGCATCACCACCCAATAAAATTGTATTGTTTTTCAATCCATCACATAATATAAATAATGGTATACTTAAAAACTGTTCATCCTTTAATTTTAAGTATACTAATTGCCTAAAATAAAAAATTTAAAGTATTAACTGAGTACTGGAGGAACTTGGACACTCATCTTGGTACCAAAAAATTTTTTACATCTTTTTAATAAAGGTTATAAAATTATAAAAATTAAAAACAAAAATAACAACAATTAATCATCATTACTAACAAATGGTATACATTAATGATCAATTTTTCAATTTAAAAAAAAAAAAAAACAAATAATATTAAAACAATTAGATTTAATTTAATTTAATTAGTTTACCTAGCTTGAAGCAAATTTAAAGGAACATGACTGTCTTCCGGTTTATTTATTTCTATTTGAACTTTTTGAGCTTTTATTGGGCTGAAAGGACATTCTAATGGATTTCCAGTCAATTCTAACAACAAATAATAGAAAATTAATACAACTTTAATTGTTTATATAACTGAATTTTTTTCTTAGGTACCTAATTCATCATCTTCTTCTTCATCAGAACTTGAAAAAGTTTTAACAAAAGAGTTCACAACTTTTTGGGCATGTTTTTTCTGAAAAAAAAAAAATCAAAATTTACTATTTATTAATTTTAAAACATATTTATTAGGTATTAATAATGATTATATTTACATGAATGTAACCAACTATTGGATTATCAACACCATTTAGACAAAATGGGCGGATATATGAGATAGTGTTAGGATCACATTGATTCAAAACAAAGTCAGGATGTAAATTCACTCTGTCATGGCAACATTTAAGAAAATTATTAAGATCCATTTAGATATTAATAATTATAGAGATCAGCTACTGAAATAATACATTAAAATACAAGTATTAATTTAATTAATTTATCATAATAAGGTTTTTATACCCTACTTGATATAACTATAGTAATTAAAAATTTACCTACAACAAAAATTAATTATAATGACATTTAAAGGACTATAATGATATTGAGATCAATACATAAATAACTGCATATTATATCTATATGTCATATTTAAATCTTATTTTATCTTTCATAAATTAAGTTTAATATGGTCCTATATATATCAAATGTTTTAAGTAATATAACATTAAAACAATATAGATACCTACTTATTAATTTTAAGCATATATCTAGGAATACATGATATTGACAAATTATCCCTCAGGGAAATAATACATTAATCATGGATAAAAATATACAAGTACCAAAGTACTTTCGAAAATATATAATCTAACAAAGTTGGTAAATCAACTAAAGTAGGTAGTATATTATATGGTAATAGTTACTTACATTCAATTTTTAAATAAAAAATTGTTCACTAGAAAAACAACTCTTCTAAATATATAATATTGAGTCTTCTTCTACGTTTAAACTACATAAATTAAGTTTCGGTATTCAGCGATCAATAAATAGCAAACAGTGTCCTGACTCCTGGGTTCTGATTCCTTAAGGATTGTTCTTATTTTCAATTTTATGAATGTAAGTAATAACTAATAATCAAACTTGAAACTATCAAAATACTTTAGACTACAGTATTGTTCAATGAAAAAAATTGGCGGGAAAACCGATTAGAGGTTATTATTGAATATTGATAATATAATATTTTGTTATGATAGTAAAAGCATTGAATTTTAGTTCGTACATCGTGATACCATAATAGACAATATAGAATTCACATCTCACCTTTCTCGATCTCAAACTTATTTAGTATTAGTTTCGTGAAAAATATAAATGTGAAGTATCCGAGTGTTTGAACTTTACTTTTATTATAGCAATAACTGTTCAGTGGTCAACCGTGTATTATAATTTATACCGAATTATTATAAGCTGGTTTTAAATAATTTTGAATGTATGGTAAAAATTATTAACGTTTTATTTTAACTATTAATTTTATTTACTAAAAAATAAAGTAGCAGCCATCAATAGTTAATTAAATAACTAATAAGTACTAGAAAATCACCAAGTGT